GGATAATTACAGCAGAGAAATATGAAGAGACCAAGCAGTACAGCCAAAGCAGATTTTTAGGACTGGATAAAAAAATAATTCTCAAGGTATTGGAATTTGAAAAAAAATGTGATGACTGAATATCAATTCAAGAAAACATGGAAAATGAGAGGAGCCTGACTGCTAGAAAGGTTAATACTCCCCAAAGCTGAAATTATATTCTCAACTTGTTAGCACAGCCTTTAGATTCCAGAAGTGATTATTTCCTGTTTAGCTCTGGTGGATCCAGAGGAAGATTCCAGTTCTACTGTAGCTTGACATGTCATCAAATAGTTGATAAAGTGTGCCTGAAGTTTTAGTATCCAGGTTAGAGAAATATGTGTGGTATGAAATTGCAGTTAGTTGGATCCTTGCCTCACAGAATAGTCATCCTTTAAGAATGTCAACTGATTGATTATCATCAGGCTGAAGGTATTAGTCTGGTAGAAAGCAACCATGAAAAAATGTTAATTTGTCTACTGCTGTCTAAGGAAACAGTCGTAGAAGTGTGGAATGGTTGAAACTTAGCTTAGGCCATGTCAGCAGTGCACTGTGCTCGCCAGAGCAGTTAAGGTGTTCTTGAAGGTGCAAAGGAAGCGGGATGTTTGGGTCTGGAGGCAGGCAGCCTCAGGCTGCATACTCATCGGCGGTCAGGGCAGGCTGTGTGTGGTACAGGGTTTTCCATTTTAAAAGAGACAGACAAATGAATTATACCTAAGTGAGTAAGAGTGTATGAAACTATGTCATATAACTGAGAGAAGAGGGCACTTAGATTTCAGAACCTTTTTATGAGCTTTGGAGTGTTGAGTGAGGGTGAGTGGGAGAAAATTCAGTAAATTGATAACATTTGAGAACTTAATTTAGAGATGTCTAAAACAAGTTTTCTTGATATTAGGGTTATTTTGGAATAATTATAAGTAGTTGGAATTTGTATACTCGGTGAGTAAGCAAATGGTTCTGAACTTTTACTTCTCTAAACCACTGCGGTAGTTTGATGAAGGTAGTGTGGAGATGGGGACATTAAAATCATTATATCTTGTAGTGTTTGATGCAACAAAAGAACATACAAAGCATACTAATTATGAGGCATTTATGTGTTTCATAAATGAACACTTGTGAGCCCACCGCTTACAAAGGAATTAGAGCATTACCTGTACCCATACCTGTGATGAGTTTCTGTAATTTTTGCCTTTGATCATATCAGCTTGATAGGATAGCATTAACAAAAGCTCTGCTTGCTAGCCTTAAAGAATGAAATGCTTTGGAGTCAGCTTTTAAAACCATTGGCATGATGGGGAAAATAATGAGTTTTTGCCTAGTGAGGTTGGAAACCAGTGGATTCAGTCACCATCATTTGATAAGCAACCTTTAATTATATGAAGTACCAGCTACCCACTCGAGTGTTTTGGGGCTTCCCTGACAAACTTTTGGTAAAGAATTCACTTGCAATGCAAGAGACCCCAGTTTGATTCCTGGGATGGGAAGGTCCCCTCCAGTATTCTGGCCTGGAGAATTCCATGGAAGTGTATAGTCCATGGGGTCGCAGAGTCAGACACGGCTGAGCGACTTTCACTTAGACTTTTCACAGGCACCGAGAGGTTAAGTAAGAGGCATCTGAAATGACACAGTTATTGTTAGAACTGGTGTCAGAGCTTGTTCTGGCTTGAGTGTCATAAGTAATGTGCCAAGAAGTGCTAATGATTTTCTGGCTAGAAAGGTGCTATTGGTAAAGGTGTAGTACTCAGCTGGTTGGACTCCACAGTGAAAATTCTAAATATCTTGTGAACTCAAGCTGTCTTAGTCATCTTTTCATTTCCATTAGTGCTGTCTTGTATGTAATTTCTATTATTAAATCGAGTGATGTATTTTAGAGACTGAAATAAACATGGTAGAAATATTTTTTAATTTTAATAAAAATAGAATATATAATTTCATTGTAATTTTGCTTCACATACTCCTGTCATTAGAAAACAAAGTCAGAGTTCCTGTCCTCTTGACTTCTTTCTTGATCCTAATACCCTGTCTGTAGCAGAGTTGATGATGCCTGCTTTTGTGTCTAATCCGTATCTCTTACTTACTGTTGTTCTACCTTAGAGTACCTCTGTGTGTATATACCTCCGATATTAGACTAAATTTTTTGAGAGCTGGGACCATGACTTGCTTAACTTCAGTGCCCTAGAACCTGGCTCTTTCCTCTCTCCGTTCACCCATCCATCAGTCCCATTTACTGAGTATTAATTGAAGACTCACTGTATTCCCAGCCACTATTGTAAGAACCAAGGATATAATAGGTAACAAAATTTCATGGAACTTTTAAGGTATTAAATAATCACAGAAATGTCTCTAGAAATACAGCTTAAGTGGTAAATGTATCTTTTCTTTCATTATATCATCTGGTCAGATAGATATAGGTTACTGGGTTTTTTGGTATATTGTTTTTAAATCTAGTCATCTGAATTTTTTTTATTTATAATAGATTATTTTGACTTTTCTAAGTTAGATAAATTTGTTTACTGAAATCACTTCTGTTTACCAGAAAATCACTTTTTCCTCTCAGTCAGCTGTATTACTGTGTTAATAGATTTTTAAAAATACTGAATTATTCTTACGTTCATGGTGTAAATTCCACCTTGTCTAGTGCATTAGTGGATGCACTAGACATGCCAGTGATGTCTGTGCATTTTGGATATTTGCATCTCCATCTATAAGCAGATTTTGTCTTTGGTTTCCTTTTATGCTATTGTCAGGTTTTTGAGTGTTACTAGCTTCATAATAAGAATTGGGCAGCTTTTGAAGAGGAAATTTTAATGGAACAAACTAATGTTGAAAGTGCTTCTACATAGAGACCTGGACTGAAGGATATATGTGCAGTTTTAATTAGATTAAATTTTTCTCATGCCCTCCACTTAATTATGTGCTATAACTACATAATTATGTAAACAACCATTTATATTTAAATTGTTGGTCACTAGAAATTTGATTTGGGAATTGCTGTCATATGCAATTTAAGATAAACACTGATTTGATACTGGATATCATTGGGGAAGATTTCATTATGAAAGCAAAAGTATAAAAAAGAACTTAATCAAGTCTTGCCCTTATAATGTAGCTAAATACAAGGTACCTTCTTTTGATTTTCTTTTACAAAAGTTTACTTGCTATAAGAGATAAACATTTGGTAAACTTTGATAAGCAAATTGTTAAGGGATAAGATTTGTTATAAAATGAACATTGCTATCACTGAGGCAGAAAATGTACTATAGTGCAGAATTTTCACCGGTTGGACTAATAAAACTGGGTAAAAACGTCTTTGATTGTGCCTTTTTACTGTAGTGAATTTTATTTAACTGAAAGCAGTTTAAATAACTAGTTAAGAAAATTAAAGTCTGCCTTGCTTTTGATAGTTCCTTAATAGCAGTAAATTGAAGTTCAATGTTTGGGAGGCATACAAATACAACACGGTGTGGTTGTGGTAAATGTATCTCTCTATCCAGGTGAAGTTGTATTTTTGTATATTTATGTATTCTTTAACCTGTTCATCTTATCTAAATTTTCTTATTAATAATTAGTTCTTTTTTTAAGTATCAATACTAATAGACCCAAGCCTCTTCCCAGAGGAGGACCTAATCTGTCATTGAGAGTTGGTTAGAGAAACATTCAGCTAAGTTAATAATGACAACTTAGTGGGTAAAGAATCTGCCTGCAGTGCAGGAGACCTGGGTTCAGTCCCTCGGTTGGGAAGATCCCCTGGAGAAGGAAATGGCAACCCACTCCAGTATCCTTGCCTGGAAAATCTCATGGACAGAGGGGCCTGGTGGGTTGCAGTCCATGGGGTCGCAAAGAGTCGGGCACGACTAAGCGACTAACACTTACTTACTTACTTACTTACTTACTTACTTACTTACTTATTAGTGTATTCTAGTAGGTAGGGGCCTATCCTTTAGCACAATGTAAAAGCTACATGAAGAACTCTGGAAAGAATTGATTTCTTTGTATAGGACTTGATACGTTAAAATAGATTTCTCATTTATTTTTAAAGAAATCATTATTTACACCTGAGAACTGTCATGATAATTGTTTTAAAAAATCATTGAGTTTAGGTATCTCTGGTTTCTTGTATTTCATTCATTAACTTAGTGTAGTTTGATCTCCATCCCATCTTTTCCTCACAGCTTCTGTATCAACATTGACTTAGCGGTCAAGTCCAAGGTCCCCGCTTTTTGCTCTTTACCTTACCATGTTTTTGTGGTATTTGATACTTTCGATCACCCTGGCCTTGAATCTGTCATTTCTTAGTGTTTTGATGCCTCTCTTCCGTAGGTCACCTGTCTACCTCCATTACTTCTTGGTTTGGAGCTTCTTTTCCTACTCCTTAAATCTTTCTTTTCCTAGGGTCATTCAGTTCTTTCTTCTCCCAATCCCCCACTTAAGACATCTTTTTTGTTCCTGTAGCTTTAACCAGTACATTTGTGTATCACACTCAGACTTCTGAATCTTTGTATCTAATGGACATCTCTGTTTGCGTATTCCAGAGATACTTAAAATATCTAAGGAAGTGGTCCAGTTTGAATTTCATTCAGATAGATTAGTTCTGAAGTATAAAGGAGCCTTTGGCATTAGTGTTGTCTGACAGGCATTCTTGGGGAGTTATTTGGCTGAAGCTATCATTTGTTTAGGCATGGAGAAATTAGGTAAAATAACTGGTTTGTATTATAGTGAATAAGAGCTTGGGCTCTGAAGTTATTTTTAATAAAATATATTATTTGGTGTAAATTTGGTTTCTGGTAGAATTTACTTAAGACTGTAGTTCGGTTATACACAGACCTAATCCAGAAAATGACAGAATAGATCAACAACTCTTGACTTCTTTAAGTTTTAACACTTAATCAATGAAATCCTCCCTTACCCTCTTATTTATTTTGTTCCTGGACTAGTAAGAATATTTTTTTGTCTAACACATTTAAAATTTTTACTTTTAACAGAAATTAGCAGAGTACGGAAAGACATGTACAATGACACATTAAATGGCAGTACAGAGAAAAGGAGTGCAGAGTTGCCTGACGCTGTGGGACCTATTGTTCAGTTACAAGAGAAACTTTATGTGCCTGTAAAAGAGTATCCAGATGTAAGTATATTTTGTTTATATTCAATGTTTTGCTTTGCTTTTTTTCCTGCTTCACATTCTTTGGAAAGAGATATGTCTGGTGGTAAGCATTGGCAGCTGCTTTAAAAAATTTTCACATGAGGGACTAGAAGTATGAATAATATGAAATTATTTTTAAAAATATATTTTCATTTGCATGTTGCTGTGTCACTTTGGAAATGCACATAGTAAAGACTTAGTTCTTGATTTCAAATTGAGGCAAGAATTATGGAAAGAGCTTTGGCTTGAATGTCAGAAAGCACCAAGTACAACTGGTGCTTGTCTTTGATTTGACCTCCGAAGAAGCTGTGTCATCCTTTCAGTACAACGAGGGGCGGCTAGACTGTGATAGCCAAGGTTCCTTGCAGTGCTAAAATTTTTATCCTAACCGCTGTTTATAATTATTTTCATCTTAGTTCCTTGCTCAGCTATTCTCTGAGTATCCTGTCCTGGATAGTCTCCTTATACTATACAATTAAATTATAAAAGGCTCAAAACTCTTGCCTTTTGTTACACAGCCCTACGTGATACGGTACTTTCTATCTCTGACCTCATCTTAAATGATTTTCCTTTTTCCTCAACACCCAGTAGTCACACTGGTTGTTAAGAATAAGTCTGTTCCCAGCCCAAGTACCTTTATGGTTTCTCTGCATTGATCTTAACGGGCTGGCTTCTTCTTGTCATTAAGATTTTAGCTTAAATGTCACTTTAGAGAGGCCTCCTCTGACCATTTAATATAAAAGCAATCTGTTTACTCATTATGTCACATATGTCTCTATTTTTCTGCAATAGCACTTATTTTCTAGTTGTTTTTTTTTTTTTTTAATGTCTCACCCCAGCAGAATATAAGGTACTTAAGAACCTGTTTTTTGTTATTTACTTCTGTATTCCCAGTGCATATAATATTGGCACGTAATAGGCATCCAGTACCTACTGAATATATCGAGGCAAATCGATGTCTTTTTGCGGAGCTTCAGAGGACTTTCCTGAAAGAAAGTACAAGAAGGAGTTGATATTGTAAAGTCAAAAATGTGATGTACAGTCTAAGATGCATTGATTATGTGGATACTATCGTAGTTTGGAGATTGGAAATAAATGTCGAGTTGATAGGGGGAAAATGTTGATAATTACATAAGGTGCATTTCTATTAATAATAGTTTTCTTACAAGTTAACCCATTTACTCTTTTTTTTTAGTAAGTATTTTTGTTGCAAATACATAAACAATTTTGGATGATGTAGGCAAAAAAGAGTTTGTTGGAGGATAATTGGGTGTCACACTAAGGGCTAAAGGAAGAGCTGGAGAACAAAGCTGTATATAAGACAGGAACCAGGGCAGGTTTGAGAACTTCAGTGGTGGAAGTTCAGACCTTCCCTGTTGAGAGCCTTGCTCTTTTTCTGTTTTTAACTTCCATTTAATAATATTGTGGTAGTTCATACATACACATGTATAAATTCTCTTCAGACTCTGCTTCCATCCCGGCTGCCATGTAACTTTGAGCAGCATTCCATGTGCTATGTAATTTGGCATCATGCCTCTCAGATTTTATTTTCAAACTTCATACTCTTAGGAGAGAGAATGTATTTTGGGCCAGTTTGCTATGAGTAAGGCCTGGGATTAACTGACGTAACCTAGACCACCCTGGGTATTGGATTATTTTTAGGGATGGTAAATTGTGATTTGGGCAGCTCTCCATCCCACTTGACGTCTACTACTTTGGTGTTTCATTATCTCTTTAAAAGATAACGACCTTCTCATCTGCTTGTTTAAAGGATAAAGATCCTGCACTAGTCTTAATATAGACTATGTAAGAGCGTGAGACTGTGTTAGAGAATATAACCTTAACTTGCCTGATCCCCATTCTTACAAAAAAAAGCCATGTAGGGAGTGATGTTTATATTGCATTACTTAAAAGACACAAGTCCTGTATAATCCTCTTAAGTCAGAAGAGACGTGTTTTATGTTGTGGATCCAAAGGGAGGCACCTTTTTACTATATTCCTGTCCTTTCCCACCAGTTGAGATTCATTGTCATGGTCAACTTCAGTTGCTGACAGATATGTTGGAGTGAAACAATGTCTAGTTCAGTGATTCTCAAAATGTGGTCCTGGGGCCATAGTATCCACACCTCCTGGGAACTTGTAAATGTTCAAACCTCAGCCCAGACTAGTCGAATCAGCAACTCGGGGGGCCAAAGCTCGGCAGTCTGCCTTCCAAGCCATGTGGACAATCCCCATGCACACCGAGGCTTGGGAAGCACTGCTCTCCTTTGTGTAGGTTGTCATCCTAGGCCAGGCTCACAGGTTGTCACATAGGGTCCTCTTACCAGGCGTTGTTTTAGGAGGCAGATGGGGATAGTGAACTCTCTTGAGGAGCAGGCATCACAGTAGTAGAGACAGACAGGAAACAAGTGGATGTTTTATTTAGGTCCTGTCCGTGCTGTGGGAAAAAGGAGATGCACAGTGGCTATGTGTTTACAGTCGAGGCATCTCTGTAAGATGAAGGGAGTGCAGAGACATGAGTAGAGCAATGGGGGAGGGCGTTCAGATCATCTGGGGAAGGACGTTTCAGGCAGAGAGATCAGCAGTTCAGTGAGCATGCTTGGGAAGTGTGGGGAGATTCGAGGTTAGAAAGTTAGCAGAGTGCCTATCCTGTAGAGATTTTGGATACTACTCAATGTGAAATGGAAAGCTGGGGAGTGCTGTGGGCTCAGTTAGGTTTTAATAGCTTATTTCTGGCTTCTGTGTGGAGAAAGGCAATGGGTGATACTGACAGCCAGGAGACCAGCTGGGGGCAGAGGAGGAATTCGACCAAGCAGACTTAGAAATAAATACTTTAGACGCTACATAATTGATAACTTAAGAGCCAGTAGGATTTGCTGGCAGATTGGATATGAGGGGGGAGGGAAAACTCAGAGGAATAGCTCGGAGGTTTTGATTGGTTGAAGTAACAATCACCAATTCCTGAGCTGTGAAAGACTGAGGGAAGAGCAGGTCTGGGGTTGGGGCTTCACATTTCTGACTTAGACCTGAGTTTGAAGTCAGACATCCATATGTAGGCGTGTTAGTGAGGCAGGTGGTGTATGAGTTGTGGGTAATTCCTGGCACCCAAAAATATCTATTTTATCAAAGCTTTTTAAATGAGAAATTCAGTGGTTTATAGGAGAGAAATAGATATAAGCCATTTTGGTCCTTCAGACCAGTTTTTTAATACCTTGATTTTAAATTTCCTTTAAAAGAATTTGGCAGAGTTGGAGTCTGCATGGAGTTTCTCTTTGAGGTTATCAGTACATACCAAATGAATAGTAACTGTGCTGTAGTCTGTACTAGGAACTGTATCTCATCATTAAATAATAAAATGAAACAAGAGTGTCAGATTTTGGCAGTATAGAAAATATTTTTATTTCAGAATTACGAATTAGGTATTGGTCACAATGAAACAAGTGTGTGTTTTTCTTATTCCTGTTTTTCTTAGTGTATCTTACCTCCTCCTTTTGTATGAGGAATTGATTTTGTGAGTGAACTCATGCTCTTTGACTCGAAAATGCTTTTATTAAAGCTTCAAAGGGGCAGTGTAGTATCGGGGTCCAAATATATGAACTCAGACTCCTGGCTGGCCCTAATGCTTGTATTGTGACTTTGGGCAAATCCAGTCATTAGTTTTTTCATCTCTGTATAGAGGTAGTCTCTCTTAGGCTTGTGAGGACTTGTAAGTGAATTAGCACAGTAAGCCGTTTGGAAAGCGCCACAATGCTGCGTAGGTGTTGCCAGAATTAAGCTCCAGGAGGGTGGGGCTGTTTTACTTTTTTGTAGTCTCCTGCCTGGGACAATGTTTGGTAAACGGTAGCTGTACAATAAGTATTTGTTGTGTGTGTCTGTATGCAAGCTTCAGTCTTTTAAATATTGCTGAACTTTTTAAAGTTGTCTTTTAAGTTTACATATAGCAACTTAAGTGTAAATTTGGAGATATTGTTTTGGTTTTGGCTGTGTATAACTCTGGGACTGATAAGAGAAGGAAGCCTTAGATTCAGTGTTTGAGAAATGAGATTGTGCTGTATTATGTCCACAGTGTTTTTTGAATCAGTGGCTTAATGGTGTGGGAATGAAAAGGTAATATGAATAGCTTGTTGAAAATGTACTGAAAATTTTTCACAGATTTAACTATTAGTATTTATACTTATTGATAAAGTGGATTGTATTGCATCTCTGCTAGTATTAAGCACATCCTGGAGGTGGGGATATTAATTCATTAAAGAAAACTGCTTGATACAGTTGAGATAATAGTGGGTTTTTGAGTCAGGTTTTGAATCCTGGCTTACTCCTTTAGTGGCTGTATTTGTCAACAGTTGCCACAACAGTGCTCTATGTAAGCTGTCCTAAAACTTAGTGGCTTAAAATAATAAGTATTGATTTCTGTGCTCTTTATTTAGTCTATACTGTGTGTGCTGGAGTTCTGATGATTGAGTTTAGCCAGCTTGGGCTGGGCCAGCTGTGTGTGTTTAGTTACCTTTGTGTTACCTTTATGTTCCTGCTAGGCTCTGCCCAAAGGGGCAGCAGCTGCTTGGAGCAAGCTCGTCTCCTGGCAGGTCACTGGAGTGGAGAGCCAAGCCAAATTGCTTAAATACATGAAAGACCTCTACGCTTTCCCCCTCAGCCAGCATGCCCTCAGCTTGGCGGTTGCCGGCCATGGATGGATCTTGCCCTTCGGGGCGTTGGGCAGTTTCTGGAGCTGTGTTGGTTGTCACAACTTGAAGGGAGTACTAGTGGCGTTTAGAGGGCAGGTGCCACGGACGCGCTTAGACATCCAACAGTGCACAAGACAGCCCCAACGACAGGGGATTCTCCTGCCCCAGATGTCAGCAGTGCTGAGGGTGATGAACTGTTTCATCAAGTCACTCCGTCCACATGAGAAGGGGCTGGAAAAATAATTGAGACTGTCACACTGACTTTGAACTTTAGAATGTTAACTTTAGGATGTTTCCTTG